CACCACCACCACCACCACCACCACCACACACACAAGCACACCAGTCTTCACCCTCGATCTGCCACAAGCTCTCTCTATTTATTCCACATTTAGACGACTACGTCGTGCAAGTGAGCAACTGCGTGGCGCACGATGGAGCTTACCAGAGGATGATCTTGATCGATGAAGACGGGTGAGTGTCAACATAGACTGTCGACATCATTGCAAGAGCCAACGTGTAATTCCGACCAAATCTCTAGATTGTTAATCGTCTGTCCGTCCGTTGCTATATTGTCACGTTCGCTGATTACCAGTCATTTGTTATTCTGTACTCTACTATAGTTTATAGCCTATTCACAGATAAGCGGTAATCGCTTAGTAGCTATTAAACGGTGCTATGGACCATTTACAGATTACCATGGATCACCTAACAGCTAATATGCGATGTAGACCAATTATTGGTTACCATTAATCACCCAATAGCTATACTTGCGAGCTTACAACATGGCGTCATATGCCGCGAATGATTTCTTACTCTATTTCTTGCACAGATGTACAGCTAGCGCTCGTAGACTAGCCCAGGACGTACAACACAAGTACTACCTGGTAAGTTTGAATGCATACTGATTATTACATCGATAGAAACAGCCATGTGTCTCAGCCGCCAGGATGAGGACTAGTAACATTGATATAACCCCCAAATTATATCACTTATTGTGATGTGTAAAAGACAAGTCAACTTATATCACTTATTGTGATGTGTAAAAGATAAGTCAACTTATATCGCTTATTATGTTGTGTAAAAGATAAGTAAACTTATATCGCTTTCTGTGTTGTGTAAAAGATAACTCAACTTATATCGCTTATTGTGTTGTGTAAAAGATAAGTAAACTTATATAGCTTATTGTGTTGTGTAGGGGATAAGTAAACTTGTATCGCTTATTGTGTTGTGTAAAAGATAAGTAAACTTATATTGCTTATTGTGTTGTGTAAAAGATAAGTAAACTTATATCGCTTATTGTGTTGTGTAAAAGATAAGTAAACTTATATCGCTTTCTGTGTTGTGTAAAAGATAACTCAACTTATATCGCTTATTGTGTTGTGTAAAAGATAAGTCAACTTATATTGCTTATTGTGTTGTGTAAAAGATAAGTAAACTTATATCGCTTATTATGTTGTATAGGGGATAAGTCAATTAGAGACGCTGAAGGACAACAACAGAAAGATACTCTACGCGCCTTTCACGGGCTTCCAGTTTCCCGACCGGCAGAACGTTTACTTTCAATGTGATGTCAACGTTTGTTACCAGCAATGCTACGTGAGTATGCGTTACGATCACTTTCACTACACGCTCATGACCCAACACCATGCTGTTTCTCCGTTACCCTACGTCTGTTTCTTGCTCTAAGCCAATCTCTATTATTTTCTCTCTTTCTCTCTCATTCGCTCACCTCATTCTACCCCTCTCTCACTCTGTTTCACTCGCACGCACGCACGCACGCACGCACACACACACACACACACACACACACACACACACACACACACACACACACAC